TCCTTATCCTCATAAATACCATGGAAAAGAAGAGTTTTTCTCCGTGATTGGGTCTCCAAACGATCCAGGCCTTGGGCTTCAAGCTCAACTTGGGATTTGAATATGCCGAGTGATTTCCATACAAAGGTCTTTTAAATGTATAGAATTCGGCAGACAAGGCTTTTACTGTTGGGTTGGATGCAGAGGAACCGGGTTGCTGCAAGTTCTTCTCAAACTCCTCCATCCTGGTGGCGAACATTGAGGAGAGCTCATCCATGCTCTTAAGAAGTTGAACAGGGGTGTCCATGATTAATTAGTGAAGGAAATTTGTGTGAGAGTGAAAAATAGTCAACTTATGCACTGGTAATAAAAACTTTAAAATATATATTTAATATATTTAAAAAATATATTTATAATAGAGCAGTTAAATTCGCGACTATACTCTTTCGTGTCTACCAGCGATTGCATTTTCCTATTAAAAAACAAGTAAGACCTAGCTTTTTGTTATATTTTCCATTTTCTTTAATTGTTATTATTACTATCCTTTCGATAACTTTCCTCATGTCCTGCGTATGACATTCATGTTCATTTTTAAATGGACAATATTTAGAATCTTTAAATAAAGCAATCCTCTTTGATATTTCTTGCATTACGCTCAAATTGAGAGGAACGGGTAATATAAATCTATCCCAATGGTTTACGTAAAGCTCTCGAACTTCTTTGGATTTTTTTTGTCCGTTGACATTCCACATTGTATTCGTCATGTAGCTCACGAGAATCAGCTAAAAATATCATATTAACATTTGTTAGTTATAGTTATTGTTATTTTCATAAAATTAACTATCGGTATTATTAAATACTAGCGGCTCACCCTCGCTTTGCTCAGGTTCGTCGCTAGGTAAGTTTTACATAGATATACTCGTAAATAGTTATTAGCCCGCGTTAGCCATATAAATGTTTTTCCGTTAATTATTCTGATGTTTTAATACTTATTATCCTATTTCGGACTAAGAGAAAACAAAAAAATCAAATATCATAAAAATTTGTAAGGCCGTTCTTGAGTTATAAATGGTGTAACTAAAACGACTTTCTTTTATTTATATGTATCTTTGACGTTTTATGTCACGTCACACGGGAACGCGGTCGAACGGGATAAAAAGTACGAGTATATACAACTGAGTACCGAGTAGTTGTAAACTTTATTTACGTCTGGGAATGGTTTAAAACCGCTAAATTCGTCTGGCGATTGGCAAGTATTATTGAAAATTACTCAATAAATACGTAATTAAAATTTCAGATTGCCAAAAGTATATTTTTGGGCGTTTCAATAAAGTATCTTTGGAGAGGTCTGGCAATACTTTATTACCGACAAAAACGTCTGGGGTTTTTTTTAAATTATATGTAAAATAAATTAAAAGATTAAACAAAAATCAAGTTGCCAAAAATATGTTTTTTTTTGGGGTTTTTTTGCAAATTTTATATACTGCGCAATAACGAAATAACCGCTAACGCTATACCAGACTCGCGGGACTGGACTCTCCAATTCACGAAATTATATTATTTCACAATTTCAATTTGCCAAAAAGACCTTCCCAAAATTCGTTACGAGCTCTCGGGCTATTATAATTTCTCGGTCTTACTGAGACAAAGTAAACGAGTATGTTTTATCTCAAATAAAGCGAAAACAAAATTACAGAAATAGTTGTATAAAAAATATATAATAGTAGTTTCTTCTATTAGATTTGTGTATACCACGTTACCTGAAAAAACCACGTCACCTTTAGCGCGAGCGAATCCGCGGGTTCTGCTAGGAACATTATAAAGAGTAAAGTTTGTAAGATTATGAGTTTGTTTGTAATGAATAAACTAAACATGCGCTGAAACAATTTAGATAAAATTTGGTAGGAAGGTAGTTTGAGACCTTGGGAAGGACATAGGATAGTTTTAATCCCGGAAATCATTCCTAAGGGGGTGACATGGGGGATGAAAGTTTGTACGAGGAATCAATCATTTGTCAAGCAAGAGATATAAAACACATTACATAGTCTTACCATAAATATTATTACAAAGAAAAAAACATTTTTTTCTATTGCACGCAACATTTATTACTATTACAGTGTGTTAGTTTAATACATTAATATAAACCCATTATAAACGTATAAAGCTTATTTGAAGTGGTCTCCATTGGCTGCAATACAGTCCTATAAACGTTTAGGCCAGTTATCAATAGAAGCACGCACTCTTTCCATGGGAAAATTTTTCACTGCCAATCAATCGTATGGATTGTTTTAGGGACTCCAAATTATTATGGCATTTAGAGCAAGCCATACACGCTATAACAGACCATAAATCATAATCCAGCGGAATAATATCGAGACTAGATGACGACCAGTCTTCACCTCTGATGAAGTCCGGAACGTGGGTTTCTAACCAAGATTGCGTGGACCGAGTTTTATATATTATACTCGGCGCCGAGTCTTGCTGAAAGGACCATTCTTGGTTATTAAACATGTTGTTAAGGGGCTTAACTACCTTCTCAAGAATGGTATCTTGATACATTTGTGCCGATGTTTTGATACTTTTTCACAAAAATATGGCTCAGCCATTCCTTCATAGCTAACACCCTACCAAACCATCACTGAAGTTGGATAATGCCCACGTTGTACTCTGTTGACTAATTGGGAGAGTTTGAGCATAAATACGGTCATTTTGTTTGTTAAAATATTGCTCAATTGTAAAAAAATTCTCATCCGTAAACATTTTTTTTCTGTTACCTCCCTTTGCGTACCGCTTAAGTAGTTGATTTGATTTTACCACCATATTCTTTTTTAAATTATCAATTAAGAAATGACCAGTACGTCTCTTATAGGCTGCAAGTCCTAAGTCATCTTTTAAAATACGCGACATGGTTCTAGGTGCTATCTTCACCTCCCGAGATAAAATCTTTTGCTTTCGGACACGATCTTTCGAATTCTTTCCCTTACTGCTTTGATCGCCTTTTTCGTACGAATAATACATGGACGGCCAGATCTTTTTCTGTCACAAATAGAGCAGGTTTCATTATACCTATCAATAGCCTGGTACACAAACATTTCACTAATACCAAGTGTACGGAGAGTTTTAAAAATTGATTTTGAAACCATACCTACTTTGTGTAATGCAATGACAGCGATTCCGTTCTCATTATCACCCCACTCCATTTTAATATCACAAAATATTTTGCAATGTATTGGCTCGAAAATGATAAAATACAATAAACAATCATATAAAAATGACAGATTCCAAATTCAAATGTAATATTTTGTTTATTTTCAATTGTAACAGTATTTATGGCCAGACTATATATATATATATATATATATATATATATATAATATATATATATTATAAAGACGTAAAGTTAGTGAGTTTGTGACGTTGTAGGAGGTAATCTCTGGATCTACTGTACCGATTTAGATAAAATTTGGTGAGAAGATAGTTTTAGACCCTGAGAAGGACATAGGATACCGAAAATCATCACTTAAGGAGGTGAAAATGGGGACGAAAGTTTGTATTGGGAATCAAGCTAGAGACGATTTCCAGTATTAAGTTTTCTTACATTTTCTAAGTTTTTGCTCAATTTTCTTAATTTTTTTTTAATGTAAGAACCTTCTACGAGGTATTGGAAAACGTTTAAAAAAAGATTAATGAAATCGGTAAAGCCGTTCTCAAATTATAGCGTGACCAGGACAAAACAAATACTTTTTGAAATAATGTTTTTATTTTTAATTATAACTATACTTTTGTACAATAAACGAGGATAAATTGGCTCACCCTGATTTCAAGTTAGATTTATTAATACATAATACTTTCTTTTTTTTTTCTTTTTCATTTGTGGGTAGGCTGTCTGTAACAACTATACCTTCGAGACATCTAACACCTCAGTCTCTCCCGTGACCATGGATGCTGTAAAGCATTCGAAACGTCGGGAACCAAAAATCCAAATAAATCCGCGAAAAAATCCGAAAGGATAGTTTTATTTAAAATTATTAATACATTTCAAGACAAAACTGGAATAAACAATTGTTCATGTGTTAGCTTATTTCATAAAGAATCCAACGATATAAGTTACTTCTATAGCTCATGTACAAAACTTCAGATATGTCGTCATTTTAAACGAGCGCGCTGATATTTCACGAGGTTACCCAAAAGTATCTCTACAGATGCGCCGATTCGCGCAAGATCGCTGCCACAGGCGAAGGTTTAACTTTTGCGATTATAAAGACTATAAATCGGCCAAATTAATAGGATTTAAACAAAGGAATACCCTTGAATCAGTCACTTTTGCTATGTTGTACAGTTTTTTAAGTTTAGTTGAGGTCGACTCTTGGGAGAAGAACGATTATAAAATTCTGTCAAAGTTATTTTTGTACCCTTCAACGAAGTTTTAGCCCTCCATGCAGTTGTTCCTGTCTTCATATTAACGAAAAGTACAAGAATAGGCCTATATGAATGCCTTTTGGCACCTAATCTGTGACAATATTCGATAACATCAGGTTTTACGGCTGGAAATTTCAAATGGCTGGCTAATAATGACACGACTTTTTTCATTACGTCTGCGTCCTTATCCTCATAAATACCATGGAAAAGAAGAGTTTTTCTCCGTGATTGTGTCTCCAAACGATCCAGGCCTTGGGCTTCAAGCTCAACTTGGGATTTGAATATGCCGAGTTATTTCCATACAAAGGTCTTTTAAATGTATAGAATTCGGCAGACAAGGCTTTTACTGTTGGGTTGGATGCAGAGGAACCGGGTTGCTGCAAGTTCTTCTCAAACTCCTGGCGAACATTGAGGAGAGCTCATCCATGCTCTTAAGAAGTTGAACAGGGGTGTCCATGATTAATTAGTGAAGGAAATTTGTGTGAGAGTGATAAATAGTCAACTTATGCACTGGTAATAAAAACTTTAAAATATATATTTAATATATTTAAAAAAATATATAGTAGAGCAGTTAAATTCACGTCTATACTCTTTCGTGTCTACCCGCTGTTGCAATTTGCGACTAAAAAGCAAACATGACCTAGCTTTTTGTTATATTTTCCATTTTCTTTAATTGTCATTATTACGATCCTTTCGATAACAGTCCTCATGTCCTGCGTATGACATTCATGTTCATTTTTAAATGGACAATATTTAGAATCTTTAAATAAAGCAATCCTCTTTGATATTTCTTGCATTACGCCCAAATTGAGAGGAATGGGTAATATAAATCTATCCCAATGGTTTACGTAAAACTCTCGAACTTCTTTGGATTTTTTTTGTCCGTTGACATTCCACATTGTATTCGTCATGTAGCTCACGAGAATCAGCTAAAAATATCACATTAACATTTGTTAGTTATAGTTATCGTTATTTTCATAAAATTAACTTTCGATATTATTAAATACTAGCGGCTAGTAGTCGTCGCTAGGTAAGTTTTAAATTGATATACTCATAAATAGTTGTTAGCCCGCGTTGGCCATATAATTTTTTTTCTTAACGGAAAACAATTTATAACCGACAAAAAAGTCTGGGATTTTTTTTGAATTATATGAAAACTAAATTAAAAGATTAAAGAAAATCAAGTTGCCAAAAATATGTTTTTTTTTGGATATTTTTTTTTGCAAATGTTATATACTGCGCAGTAACGAAATAACCGCTAACGCTATACCAGACTCGCGGGACTGGACTCTCCAATTATTCACGAAATTATATTATTTCACAATTTCAACTTGCCAAAAAGACCTTCCCAAAATTCGTCACGAGCTCTCGGGCTATTATAATTTCTCGGTCTTACTGAGACAAAGTAAACGAGTATGTTTTATCTCAAATAAGGCGAAAACAAAATTACTGAAATAGTTGTATGAAAAACATATAATAGTAAAAATGTAGTAGTAAATATAGTAGTAAAATTGACTCACCAGTACAAAACCTTTCATGATCAAATGTTGGCGTGTTTCAAAGTTAAATTTTACTAGAATTGATTTAGGAAATAAAGTCTTTACTTATATTTCAACTTCTTCATTAAAACGAGCATGTTCAATTATGTCGCTTAATAATTGTTATTTGTAATATAAAAGCTTATCGAATCAAAAGTCAATTTTGTGCAAAAAATTAATTATTAATTTCATAGTTACTTATAATTATATTAGAAAAAAAAATGTATGTTACTATTTACTAATAACGTAAATAATGGAAAATGTCACTAGTGGCATGCACCTGGCAAGATTTAAATGAGTATATTCTGTATTGAACAGATAATACTTCTTTGGGGTAGTGCCGCGGAAATTAATTCGATATATATTCTTCAAAAAAGAGCAGTACGGGCTATTTATGATCTAAGAGCTAGTGATTCTTGCGAGATGTTTTCAAAAAAATTGGTTATCTTACGGTTGCGTCACAATATATACTGTGTAATATATTACTTGTTCGTAAGAATTTAAATAATTGTGAAAAAAAAACAGTGATAGACACACAATAAAACTAAACTAGGAATAGAAATAAGCTTGTTATGCCTAGATTTCGACTCCAAAAGGTGAAGAAATCCTTCATGGGCTTAAGTATACGCATATATAATAAGATTCCACAAAATGTCCTAGATTTACCTTTTCAAAAATTTAAAGATAAAATTAAAAATATTTTATTGAACAAAGTGTATTTCACTGTTCAAGAGTTTCTTGTTGATGAAAATGTGTGGAATTGAGTGATATTGACTCATATGCGGGCTATCTACATATATAATGTTATGTTAATAAAATAAATGTATTTATGATATGTATAGATAGGTACAATCAACTTACCAGAAATCCTTTTAATGTGCAGTTGGGTCGCGAAATTGTTGCCCATTTGGGAAACATAGCTATCTTTCTTACTGGATAGCTGTATGCTGAACCCATCAGATTCCAAAGACGCCCTCGGGGCTCTGGCAGCTTGAACCGCCTTGTTCTGGCACAAAGGTGTAGGGGCTACTTTAGCTAAAGCCGCCTCTTGAGATCCAGTACTATCGCGTCTGCGATTTTTATGATCAAGAAGCATACTCGGCGTACACCCCATACTGATGTTGGCACTACACTTTGGCACTCACACTATCGCACTGAGATGTCATCATTAAGACCTGAAACAAGTTTAAAATTAAAAACTTATATAAAAAAAAACGTTGAAAAATAACAAAAGAACATCTGCAAAAGAGAGTACAAGTATTAATTTAATAATTCATTTTTTTGTGTATATGTTACACGATATTTTCCTTAATTGAGAACCGATTGTAATTACTCTCTTTTAATTATGTGGTTAAAACTCTAGAGTGTAATAATTAGAATGTTTTTGAAGTCGGCGTTGTAATAAAAAAGTATAAAATATATCAAATGGGTACAAACGACGTATGCACTTTTAATTATGTATGTAAATATTAACGGCTCACCCCCGCTTTGCCCCGCTCGGGTTCGTACTTGCTTACGTTTTAACGTTTAAAGTTTATATTACCCAGAGATGAGATATTTTCCCGCAGTTAAAAATATGTTGACTATAGTAGCGCCATCTTAACTTTATTTTTTGACAAATATATAATAATAGCTGCACCAAATTTAAATTACTAATTAATAAAGTTTTCCCAAAAATTATAATATTTATTACAATAAAAGCTAAAATTAAATAAATAATATTTCTATTCAATTTTAAAACTTATCAAAATCATAAAAATAACAAATATTGTAAGGTACTTTGTGCCATTTTTTAAATTTTTTGAATTCATTTTGTTATTTTGTGGGTAAGCTGTCTGTAACAACTACACACACACACACATATATATATATATATATATATACATACATAATATTTATGAGACATCTTAAACCTTAGCCGAGAGATGATCTAGTATAAAAGTGCAGGTAAAAAGTAACTAATAAACTAGTTTTTCTTAATAAAGCAAAGGATGAAATTACTTCGTAAGTCTCTCTTTTAAGTTAGCAACTATTAAGTTTGAATGGACGAAGGAGTTAAAAATCTTAGTCTATTTTGTTTAATCTCACTTAAGTTTCTTTCAAAGTTTAAAGTTAATAATTTTCAGCTTCGGCTTAGATCGAATAAATCTTATAATATTCTTTAGGACTTGTTCCGCAGCCATATGGCAAATACCCTTAAAATGCAATATTAACTCATTTAATATTCAGCCCTGGTGTAGTGGCTCGCATGTACGGCTGCAACCCGGAGGTCCTGGGTTCGAGTCCCGGGTCGGGCCAAGTTTAGTTATTGAGTCTATCTGTATAAGTAAGCCTCAGTAACAGCCCGGAGTTGGGAAGTTGGCGGTGTTTCACCCACGTGCCTCGGAGAGCACGTAAAGCCGTCGGTTCTGCGCCTTAACTCTCACTGGTCGTGTCGAGCAGTCGTCCCACCGGAATATGAGAGTGACAGGAATAGAGAGTGCACTTGTGTCTGCGCGTACACTTGTGCACTATAATATCTCCTGCGCAGTTGGCTAGTCTCAATGAGATTGGCCGCCGTGGCCGGAATCGGTCGGGAGAACATCATCATCAATATTCAGCCCATGTTCATCAGTCCGTATATCACAGCCATTTCACACGGACATCATTGGTACTTTGAAGCTGCCATTATATGATTCATGTGAGCTGGTAGACAGTGATGATTTCAAATGACGAAAAATTAAAAATAGGGATAGCAATACATTTAAGTCAACGATGTACTCCGGTGTACAGTGTGGATCAGAGTGTACAAAAGATCTTTGGATAGTTTTTGAAGAAAAACATACGATATTTCTAAATAACATTTTTATATATTTCAGCTCAATTAGTTGAAGATAACTGCTTTAAAATTCAATCGCAAGATCTGACCCGAACAAACATTCATACAAACATTGCAAGTTAAGTAAAAGCTTGTAGAATAATAAATAAATAAATATGTTGGGACAATAACAGACTGCACCATCTAGTTCCATGGTAAGCTACAAGGCTTGTGTTATGGATACCAGAGAGTTGATACACTACACATATATAACTTTAAATACATACATACATATTATAAATAAATATAAACACCCATGACTGGAGTACAAACATTCGTGCTCGTCAAACAAATAAATCCTCCCAGCGGGACTAAAATCCGCAACCCTGGCACACCAAGTAGAGCCAATACAAACTGAACCAAACGTGTCGTCAAATATCTTGCTTTAGCGCCTGAAAGAAAGATCATCCATCCACCAGTAAACACTTTTACATTTAAAATGAGCCTAGGAGCCTTATCTATTAATAATAAGTTGCAAATTCTAAAACTAACTCGTCATCGTCATATTGTGTCGCCTATCTGTGTACAAAATTTCATCCAAATCCGTCCAGCCAGCGTGAATGAAAAAGAAACATCCCTTACTTATAAAAACTTTGAGTTTATATATAATAGTTTATGTATAAGAGTGATTATAATAGTAGAGTAAGGAACTAAAGTACAGTAAAGTGACTTGTCGGTATCGGCTTTACTTGTATTACTTCACTGATCACACTTTGCAAGATGTATTTAAAACTTTTACAACAATTTAGCGTGTGTACTTTGTTTCGAATTTTTTTCATCATGCTGTAAAGTTCTTTATACAATCTTTTTCGGTGTATGCCGCATTGTCCTGGAATAAACTTCCGAAAGGCATCCAATTAAGCCCCTCTATAACTGCCTTTAAAAAGAAAATAAAACAGCACTTTCTCACCCAAGTTTTTCCACAATAATTATATTAACTACTATTATTATGCATTATATTATATAGATATGTATTTGTGTATATAGTAGTATGTACATATGTTATGGTATATAATATGTATAATGTTTTGTTATATGTATATATAATATTTATTTATTTAAGTATTTACATTTGAGTTACTGCACTTTAGCCTGCATTTTAATACTATATCTCTAACTCACTTAGGTTTACTGGAAGAGATCTCTTCTAGAGATAAGTCCAACTTTGCTAATTATATTGTTTGTTACTCTCTGTATTTTACATATAAGTGCAATAAAGAATAGTATATATATAAATGAATTATGTATGATACATATTACACATATTATTAAAATAAATTTTATCAAAAAGCTATATATTAATGGTAGTCGATATTATTTCGATATACACTCTACATTAATGTTGCCATAAAAATTATTCAAATATCACCGAAAAGCATAATCTTTTACATTATAAGTATAAAATATTTCATTATTTATTAATAAAGTATTTAAATTAAGTATTATTTAATAATTAATAATAAGTATTACTTTTTAAATAGAAATCTACAACGCCTTAAAATCACTTTGCCTGAGTGTAATTTTTTGTATGCATAAATGTATGTGTATACATTAAAATATACCTCCAACCCCCCCCCCCTCGCCACTCACCCCCTGTCCCGTTTTTAAACCTGTAAAACCCAATTAGTACATGGACTTATCCAAATATTGTTAGACTCATATATAAAAAAGTATAATGCTTTTAAAAAAGCTTACTTTATAATAGCAGGAGAAGCTTTTCGTTTATAAGGAAACGATTAAAATACTTTCTTTGTTTTCTTTTTGCTTCAGCAAGTAATAAAACATGGCGCAATTAAATAGTTGATTGCGAAATGTATTTCAGTTTACGCGTCATGGGATCAAAGAAAATGTTCATTTGGGACTTTCCGAGAATCACATTCATTTAGAATATATTGGAAAACCTGTCTCTTTCGCATAAGAAATTGTGTCTTTTAAAATATTACAACTTACAAAATTTAGCTGTACAGAACTTTGCTATTATGGTTTAACTAGCGACTCGCCCTCGCCTCGCTCAGATCCGTCTCTAGGTACGTTTTGACAAAAAATAACTATTCGAGATATTTTTTTCTGGATTTTTTCCGATTTTTTAATAGTTATTCTGCTTATAGTTAGACTTTGTTTTATATATAGATTATGCAGCCTTCAATAATATATCTGATACTTTGTATGCTACATACTTTTTGTTGTAGAAATTACAAACATAGTACCTTATATGTTATTAGTGGGCTTATTTTATAAATAAATGGCCAAAAATATACAAAATAATATAAGTAAGCCCTCTAGTCTAAATATAATTGAAATATCGTTTAATTTATAGACAATAAATGAAAGATAGGTGAACACAACGCTTTAATATGAAAAATATTTTTCTACCTTTGCTGAAATTAGCTTTAAAAATAATAGAGCCTCAACATAAAAATAATATATTATTATCCTTTCTCTTTCCTACCTACGTATGTTATGTGAAACGGCACGAGATAAAATTATCAGTTATTGAAGAAGACATCTATGGTAGAAGGTGAACCATATCTGCATATGACAGATAACTATTAACTCTTGTAGGCTCTTCAATTATGAGTTATTGTTAAGATATCAAAGGCATTGCCGAGTCAGTAATTAACCAATTATTAATATGTGGCTTCTAGTCGACGGCGTATTGTGTTTGAAATGAGAAAATATAGTTATTTGTTTCAGAACATAACAAGGCTTTGTTCTAAGCTAGTCGACGTTAACGGCCCGGCAAAGAGGATGAAGTTTTAATGAATTTAATAGGAAGATATCGTAAAAAATTGTACTAGGTAATAGGTATATATTTTTCTATTACAGGAAGTTAATATATATTATACTGTACTTCCCAGCTCGGCTGCTTGCTTTTTATACTCCTTATAACAGTTTTGCACAAAGTACCTCTGTATGGTACATAACAAGGAGGTGATCTTTAACATAAAGTAAAATTTCTATAACCTTGCAAAATACATCTCATTAATTAATATTATAAATGCGAAAGTTTGGATGGATGTTTGTTTCTCGATCATGCCAGAACGGCTGAATGGATCTGGATGAAATTTGGCACAGAGATAGATTATAGTCTGAAATAGCAAATGGGTTATTTTTATCCTGGAAAAATGTACGGTTCCCGTGGGATAGGTTTGTTTTTGTTTTTCACTAAACAGGACGAAAAAAAGGTAAGTTGCTGGTAAGGTATAAAATGTAAAATTAATTTTTGAATCGCTAAAAGGGTTCAAACAAATAGCTAA